TTAACCCGATCTTTTGTTGGCTGGTTTCTAAGTCAGGCGATCAGTTGGTTTGTGAACCGAATTACACAAAAATGAGAGACATCCTGGAAGCCTTGTGTGGCGCACGTTTCACAGTTCAAAGATGTGACATCACTCGTGACATCACTTTTCTCACACACACACACACACACACACACACATGGCACACTCACCTCAGCGCTCTTATCTGGGGCCGACATTCATTTCCTCTCCTTCTATGTTGTCGTTCCCCGGGGGACGCAAAGACCCACAATGTATTGCTGCACGGCGGCCGTGATTTCTGCACTGTACTGATGATCAATGATCTCTCCCCGCCGTTCGACGTATACAGGGCAGGAATCCCTGATGAATCATGTCACATGAGTGTAAACGTGATGTATACGTGCTGTAACGTAGTGACTTCGTGCTGGTGGAGGATGTCCTCTGGATGACCGAGCGTGATGACTCAGCACTTTATTAAAGCAAATCATGGAGTGATTCTCAAAAGTGTGCGACACGAAGGAATTGCTAAATTAAATGGTCTGACTGAACATAATGTTACAGAGACTGCTTACTTCTGTTCGGTTGTCTTTAACTCATTGATTGGCGCGGACAACCAAATTCATGAACTGGAAGCTAGCGTCGACTGCCACAGACAAATTAATTTGGATTTGGGCCCAGCACAGATTTTGAGTTGAAGATAAAGATCACGCAATCAGTCTCGACCAGTTGATTTTTTTTTAAGCAGGATAAATGCCAACACGTTGAGAGTCGGAAAATTTAGGCTAGTAACCGGAGCGCGTGTATGATATGGTATCAAGAGAGTATACAGTATGTCACGGTCGGTAGAAAATGTGTCAAAATCATCAGAATGATGTGGTTGTTATGTTTTGATGTAGGTTCAGTTCTTATGTTGTCTCAGAACACAATCTTCTGTCGGTCTTGAAAGAATGCTCTCAAAAGGGTAACCGATATGGGGAAGCTTTGAAAATGGCTGTCAGTGAATGGGTTAACGCTAAATAAACTACATTTGCATCCAATGATTTTAGTTTCATGGAAATCATTCATGTACTTTATGCAATCATCTTCCTGACCAAAACTACCAGACTAAAATTAAGAGTGTAAAAAAAAATTGCCTTTTTATTTCCAGTATTGCGAAGGGGGGGGGGGGTGTTATTGATAGAATATTTCAAAATAGATTTTTTTTTTCCCCCATGTCCTCGCAATGAGTCGGCTAACAAGCTGTTGTTGTTCACAGTGGTGACCAAATATTGGACAGTGAATATGTGATGGTCACCATGGCAACCCTAGGCTGCTGCAATTGGATGAATGTCAAAGACAATCACTTTGAACATGGACGCAGCTTATTTCATGTCATCTGGAATCACTTTATTCCTTTGTGCGTGTGTGTGTGTGTGTGTGTGTGTGTGTGTGTGTGTGTGTGTGTGTGTGTGTGTGTGTGATGATGAGTCATCTTTATCCCATGATGCACAAACAGCGGTCGCCTGTTACCTTGACCGATACACTGTGAAGTGTATCAATGCGCAAATGTCCTCTTAAATACAAAGCAGACAAATATAAAAGCAAAAGTCACGAGGCTCAAACGCAGCTTCGGTGTACCTTCACATGCGCGGGCACTGAACACTTCATTAAGGTACACCTGTATGAGACCTGAGGCAATAATAAGTATCCATCCATTTTCTCAACTGCTTATCAAATAAAAATAATCGTGCTCACTTTTGATTGACATTTGCGCTTATTTGAATATTTTCTCGCAACACACTTAAAAAAATAATCAAATCCCAAAATGATTTTTAGGCGAATCCTATTTTTGGACTCATGCGGCCGGGGTTCCGGGAATTTGCCCCAAAATGGCTGCATCAAACTAAAATGACCGACTTCCTGTTTAATTTGGGGCACAGGTTCTTGAGACTTTTTTGTTTGTCCTGTTGTGATCGCCATAGAGGTGCCCACCAAATTTCACGTGGCTCTGTCACACTGGTGCCAAGATTTGTTTGTATTTTCAGCTTTCCAGTGCCTTGTTATTGTTCATCAAAGAAGGATGCCAACAAACAAACACAATAAATGTCAAAAATCGGACCACTTTTGTCTCTCACTGAACATCCTTTTGTGGAAACGCCACTGTGCCCTATCGTCCATGGGTTTATAATCCAATTGTTCATCAAGAAGTCTTGTGATGATTTGAACTCGGCGTTCACAACAAGAACACGATGACATGTGATGCTGTGAAAGCACAGTGAAACACTTGCTGAGAGGTTGCATTTTGAGGACATTTTCTTAATAGGAAGCCAACGTTTTTTGGGCCACAGGACTTTATCACAAAATATTGAAATCTTAGTGTGTCTGTCATCGACATCTGTTATGATATTACAGCAGCCTCAAATAGGGGTTTCCCTGCTCTTCAATGAAAGACCAGTTTCCCCACATTTTGATTCCCCCCAACAAAAGTTGGCAAAAAATTCCATACAATTTTTGCTTCTTTATTTTTACCTAAAAAACATCAAAAATGTTTATTTGCGTGTTGAAAATTTTGAAGATACATGTTGTTTTGTCCAAATTCTTGAGTTTTTTGTTTTGAATCTCAAATAAAACCAAACATTTTTTGGTTTTTTTTGGACCAAAACAAAACAAGAAAAATGGATTGAAATTGTTGATTGAAAACTTTTTTGTTTAAAGAACAGGACAACAAATCTATTAATTTGTAGCTGTTTTTTGTTTGTTTGTTTTTTGGGACAGCACTTACATTTAAACGTGAACATGTTTTATGAGCAATATTTTGCTGTGCGTGTGTTTGTGTGTAATCCCGAGCTGTGCGCCGCACATTAAACTTAATGCTCTCTTAATTACTTTGAGACAATAAAGTGTCGTAAAGTTTACGGTGGAAAAGTGGCACATTTTACTCCTTTTGTCATAAAATGTACTTCTGCATCAATATTGCAACTGGCCTGCTCCAAAGTGAGGCAACAAATCACGCGTATGCCTGTGTGAGCATGTAGCTATCCATAGGCTAGCCGCGTGGTGCTAATATGGTTGCCAGAGAGACAGTTTGTCACACACGTCCCTCGTGCATTGCCGCTAGATATGAAGTCGCTGATCTTTTTTGAGGGGGAGTGGGGGCGGTAATCATGTGACCATCCTGCATTATCAATAGGATTCTTGTTGAAGGGCTGGGGGCATCAAAAATTATCAATGAGTTTTTTTATTGTACTGGTGTGGAGTGCCATTCGGAAAAGAAAAAATGTATATGTTGAAAAAGAAGTCATGTTTTTAAAAGCTGGAATTTTTTAAAGATAAAACTAAAACGTTTTTTTTTTTTGGAGGGGGAATCTGAATTTTCAAGGAGGGGCAAAAAAAATTATTTTTTTTCCCGAGTTTAATATTTTCATTAAAATACCAACATTTTCGAAGAGAGAGTATTTTCTTTTTCCCATGGTCGAAAGTCAGGAAAAAACTGGATGGATTGATGAATGGATGGATAATTTGAAATAATCTTTTTGAAGAATCTCCCAATCATACATAATGAGAGGGGGGGGGTGTTCCACAAGGCTCCATTCGAGAGCCTCTTGTTTTTTTTGTTGTTTTTTTATGTGGGGCGGGCGGTAGCCAAGACAGATTATAGACAGCTTGACATATAGAGATATAGAGATTAATTGGTTTGTTTCATAGTTGTTTCAGTCTTTATTTTTGGGTTTGGTGGTTTGGGTTATGTGGTTTGGTGGGTTTTAGTTGGTTTGTTGTTTGGTTGGATGATTGGTTCAGTTGGTTAGTTTGGTGAACTGATTCTTCCTGATTCTCAGCAGACCAAATGATGTTGTCATCAGTACTAAATGTGTGTGTGTGTGGGGGGGGGTGAAGTGTGAGCCCTTAAATGTGATGTGACATTCCCCCAAACGCACCTTTGATGTTGACATCCTAATGAGACACAAATCAAGAACATAAATCAACAATGTATGGAACCACAAAACCTCTGATAAATATTCATGAAGGCTGCAGCAGTAGGGTGGGGAGCGGGAATGACGCATTTAAATCTGGTCTTTGCAGGTATGCCTGATCCTCCCTTTTCCCTTTTTGCTGTTGTGCCTTTTCCCAGGAACTGTCTTTCGTCAAGCCTCTGATTGGCTCAAGAAAGCTTACAGTTATGGGTTATAGTGCCACCTGTAGCATACATACCACAGACTGTCAATCACGTTTTTACGTAGATTAGAGTCTTAGGGATATGCTGAAAAGAAAAAAAAATGTGTTATTTTTTTCCATAGAAAAAAAGTATGTCTTTCCAAGAATAAAAATGTATTTCTTCCCCAAAACAAGTTGTTGTCTACATGATTTAACAATTTTTTTCAAACGTCATAGTGTTGCATTTAATGAAATGTATTTTTCAAGTTTTTTTTATATATATATTACAATAATTGCTTGAAAAATGATCAGTTTATTTTAAAAGTCTCACTTTTCAAAAATACAACTTTTTAAAACACACACCTTTTCTTCACTATTTCAAAAAAAAAAAAGTAGGGTTGTTTTTTTTTCGGAGGGGGGGGGGAGGCTGGAGGTATAATATTGTTTCGTGATGTCACTATGTCATAGGAATAGCTGGATGAAAAAAGCAGACGATGTTCAGACCTCCGGCGTACGCATCCTCCACAGCCGGAGTGGAAAGCCTGTCCCCGTCTGCGCTCGACAGCACTTGCGCCGCTATTCCTCCGGAGAGTCACCCCCGCCAAACCGCGCACTCTCGGAGCGCTCGGCTCGCGCTTTGCTTCCTGCATGTGAGCGCTTATATAGCGGCCTAAAAATAGCTCCGGCGCGGCCCAATGAGCAGTGAAACCCGCTCGGGGCTGCGCAACCAACCAGGCCAGGGCAGAGGCTCCGGCTGCGGGCAGCCATTGGTGCCGATAGCACCGGCAGGCGGGTCGAGCGCTGCCCGCAGCTCATTGGCTGGAGCGCACTGATACGTCACGACGTCACGTGGTTCATGTTCGTGTGTAGTTGTAACCGCGAGAACGAAGAGGAAGAGGTGAGTTGAGAGGGAGCTGACACTCGGGAGCAGACTTCAGTCAGTGACCGCTGCGCTCCGCAACCAGCGCGACGTACACGCGCACGCAGGCACGCACGTACGTACGTACGACCACCAGGCAGCCTTCTGAGATGGACGTCATCCCCATGTGCAGCATCTTCCAGGAGCTCCAGATCGTGCACGACACCGGATACTTTTCCGCGTTACCGTCCCTGGAGGAGTACTGGCAGCAGGTAATTAATTGCACGAGAGGAAAAAGAAGACTTCAAATGTTTGTGTTTGTTTGGTTGTTTGTAAGACCCCCAAAAAGGGACCCAAGTTGGCGCGTGCATTCGCCGCCAACTTGTTGATTGCATTTTGCGTCACTTGTTCGTGGAGCGCGATGGCGATGTGCGTACCCTTTGCAAACTTTGCATTCGCGACCATCGTGCGTGCTCGTGCATGAAGCTGTCATTTGTGCACGCGCGGCGAGCGACAGCTTTCCAGCTGATGAGATTTATGCGATAAATTGCTTTTGTTTGTTTCATGGTAATGTAAAAATAATAATCCTTGCATAGCAGAGCAATGACGCTGCTTGTCAGACCTCCTCGAAGGCAGGCAGGCAGGCTGGCCAGCCTGGTGCCAAGTTCCGGGGATAGACATGCGTGCGTGCGTGAGATATTGCGCGTGCCTGCAAGGAGCTGTCACATGTGCACGCGCGCAGACTGACAGCAACCCGACTCTATATTTCCACTTTTTTAAAAGCGGCTTTTTCATCGTGAAATAAAAAAGAATAGGTCGGCTTTAAAAGGGGCTTTTTCATCGTGAAAAAAAAGAATAGTTTCGGAGTGGAATTCCGGACCTCCCCCAAGGCAAGCTCCGATGGTCGACATGCGCGCGCGTGGAGCTGTCACGCGTGCCCGCGCGCAGACTGACAGCTAAAGCGAGAGCAAGCACGAGAGGGAAAACTACCAACCTGGAACGTTCATTTTTTATTTTCATAATGAAGAAACAAGAATAATGTGGCGTTGCGCAAGCGCTTCAATGCGGACGCTTTGCATTTAAGTTTGAAACAGGAAAGTCCAGATATAAGTTTGGATATCATTGAGAAATAATGTGCTCTCGTGAAGGGTTTTAATACGGACGCTTTCAAATTTCAGTCAGCCGAGAAATTGAACTGTTTTGAACAGCAATGAACAGTTTCAACCACTAAAAACGACTTGTGCGGATTCAGAAAGGTCATTTAACATCTAAATCGAGAAATGATTTAATGTGGACTTTTTACGATGGAATGAGCTCTCCACGCTGACCAGGTTTCAGACAGGAAAGAGCAATTCCAACCACCAAAAAAAAAAAAAAAACAACAAAAAACTTGGGTTACTCTTCAAGAAGTTTGTCCAAATAAAGTGCTTTGATATGAACTCTCAATTCCAGTTAGCTCTCAAAGTTGGACCGTTTTGAACAGGAATGAGCAGTTTCAACGGCCAAAAGCAAATTTTGATTTTAATGAATGCAATTTGACATCCAAATCAAGCAATACTTGAGCGCCATCGTGAAGTGCTTTAATGCAGACTCTTTCGAGTTCTTTCATCTCTTCACACTTGAAAGTGAACTCGGGAACAAATTGAATTTCAATCACGAAAACATGTTTTCCCCATTCAGCAATACAATTGCCAACTAATTTCTTAATGAAGAAATAACTTGGTGCCACGGTGAAGTGCTTTGATGCAGAGTCATTGAATGTCAGTGAGCTCTTCATGTTTGCCACTGTTTCAATTTTTCCTTCCTTGTTTCTCATTCAAATTCAAAATCCTCGCCTTGAAGCGGAATGGCTCCTGTCAGACTTCCCCTGAGACAGGCCCGGAGCCAAATTCCAGCAGTTGCATGCTTTGGTTTGCAACATTTCAACTTGGAGTGGGATGCAGCTCTGGACTTCGTGTCCACATTCTTCTCCTCAACACGTTTTGTCTGGGAATGCCGCTGCAGATTCCTTTAATGAGTCATCTTCCAGTTATCTGCAGCCGTCGGAATTCTGCCCGCGCTGGACCCACAATAGCGGCTTCCAAAGCCCCCCCGCATACATTCCCAAAGTGGATCTTGCAGTATTCATGCCGGAGCTTTTTATGGCGCACACACACGCACACACAACCATTCCCTGACTGCCCCCCCCCCCCCCCCCCCCCCCCCCCCCCGCCACCACCAATCTCGCATCCTCCTCGCAGGTCCCCGGCGTGCGATGTTATTTCTAGCCATGCCTCCAAATGCATTATTAAATCCACATTATGCTGAATAATTGATGGTGCTAAAAGATCTACAAGCACTTGGCCCACAGACGGCAGTTAGCAATCCTACATCGGGAATGTTCGTCAACGCGCATGACATCGGCATGCGACGCTTTTGCTTTACTTCCTGGTTCGGCTCGCTGCAGTTGCAAAAGGAATGGAGAAGGGGTAAGGAGAGCTGCCGGTGTCACGTGGCGCTTTAATGTGGACTCTTTCAGTTTGTTTGTTTTTAGCACTTTGTGATTGAAAATTTTGACTAGAACAAGGAAATCGAACCACTGAAACACATTTTTTTTACGTTCAGGAAAGTCATGTTTATTCATGAAGGACTTTAATGCACACTGTTTCAGTGTCAGTGACTGCCCCGCTTTGCAGCGTTTTGAACAAAACTGATCCATTTCTACCACTAAGATTCACTTTTACGTTCAGTAATGAAATTTGATGTCTAAATCCCCAAATAGTTCATGAAGTGCTTTAATGCACTCATCCCGGTTCAGCAGGTGCTCTGTGTTGTAACATTTTGAACAACCTCTACCTTGTTTTTATGTTCAGGAATATAATTTGACATCTAAATAAGGACTGTTTCATTGTGCAATGATGATGTGCTTTAATTCAGACACTTTCGATTCCAGTGAGTGTTCTGCATTTCACTGTTTTGGACAATAGTTATGAATTTCAACCACCACAGCAAATGTTTCACCATGAATAGCTTTAATGCAAACTGTTTCAATGTCAGTGACCGCTTCACATTTGGACATCCTGAACAAGAACAAGCAGTTTCAACCACGAAACTTTGTTTTTATGTTCAGTAATATGATCTGGGATCTCAATCAAGAAATAGTTTTGTGGCCAGGAAATGCTTTAATGCAGACTCTTTCAGTTTCAGCGAGTGTTTAGCATTTCACCGTTTGGAATAAAAACCACTTCCTAATTTCAACCACTGAAGCAAATGTTCTTGTTGAAGAATGCAATGTGACATCTAAATCAACAACTCGTCACTTCAAATCATGAAGTGCTTTAATGCGAACTCTGCGTGCTGTCTCTTTGTCGAACATTTCTCTTCATAACTGACAAGCCCGCGATCGGTTTTGCCATGTGTCCTGCGCACTTTTGTTCCAAACAGCATGAAAGTCAGTTGCACACGTTTATTTAAAACAATGAGCACATTACTAAGTACACTCTTATAACAAAAATGACAACTTCCCTTTCCTCATATTGACCTTCGTGTCTTCTTGTTGTTGTTGTTTTTTTTTTTTTAGACATGCTTGGAGCTGGAGCGCTACCTGCAGGCCGAGCCGTACGTGTCGGCATCCGAGCTGAAGTTTGACAACCAAGAGGATCTGTGGAGCAAACTGATGCTGGCCTGTGGCGACAAGGCGGCCGACCCCAAGCTGGCCAAGGAGGACGAGGAACCCCCGGAGAGCCGAGACGCCGCGGGCTGCTGCTTCCACTCGGACGCCAGCAGCGAAGCGTCGGACTGTTCCGAAGAACTGTCGCCTACCCTCGACTTCCCCGCCGGCTCGCTGGCCGATCTCCTGGGCGACAGCCCCGAGGAGGACCTGAGCGCCGCCTGCGCCGCCGCCGTCATCATCGGGACGCCGCCCTCTTCACCCGAGCTGGCCAAGGAGGGCCTGGCGGGGTTGCAGGTGTGGGGGGGCGGCGGCCATGCCGGGCCGCATACGGCGGGGAAAGGCAGGACGAGCGGCGGGGCAGAGAGGGCGGGGCTCGTCGGTGGGGAAGCATCGCCCGACGGCAGGAGGCGAGTGCACAGGTGTCTCTTCAACGGATGCAGGAAGGTGTACACCAAGAGCTCGCACCTCAAGGCGCACCAGCGCACCCACACAGGTACGCACCACACGGGACACTTAATACCTGATCAAACCGCATTCTGAAAATACACTCGTGCCTTGAAGTACGAAAGACCCGACTCAATCGTTTTCCAAGTTAGAAGCTGTCGTTATGGGGATTTTTTTTTTCTTTTCTGCTAGCCTAATGCTAATAGACAATGGACAACGGCATAGATAGCTAGCAAATAGCATAGAAAGTATTGGTATTAGAAACCTTTCAGCAACGGATACTTCAACACAACCATGGACAAACACATGTAGACAGACAATAGAACAAGCAAGACTTATAGGCGTGTATTCTTTATCTTCTGCAAAAAAAGCGACTAATATGACTGTAGTTCATAAGGATTTGTGACCATCCGCTACTATAAGAGGTATCAGACTCATTTTTTTCCCAGCACAACAGAGAGTTGATGTCCCCCAAAAATAGTCAAAAGCCTGTGTCTCCGGAAACCTTCCCGGAAGATGCCTGCGCACCCCCTGGGAGGCATTTGTTTACATCTCCACTTCATTCTTTTACACTTCAGTCTTCCTGTCAGCCTTCCGCAAATTTTTGCAGCCACACACCCCTTTAAGAAATTCCCACTAAAGTTGACTCACGCGCTCTCCTCAAACCCAACCCCCCCCAAAAAAGTCAAAACAAAGGCTGTAGGTCCAGTGAATTTTAGCTTTTTGAAGCAAATTTTGAATGTCATGTCAAATGAGGTAGAAGGTATTTCTTCTTTTTTTTTTTTTTTTTTTGCCAAATTGGTTTGTTTATGAGTTCAACTTTTAGATTTGAGAGAGGGAAATATCCTTTGATGTTGTCAAACAGACCATGTTTATCCTGCAAACACGGCTGACATTTCGTCCTGGGAACGCCTGCCGTCGGGGAAAAAAAAAAACCCACAAAAAAAAAAAAAAAGCGAGATGGGAATTGTGCTCTTTGCCTTTACTTTCATGAGCGCGGTGCCGCGCCGTCACCGTTCACATGTGAGCCTCGTCAACTTTGACCCGCAAGCGAGCTGTTTACAGCTTCAGTGGCTCCCATTCGCGGAGGAAGTCGCATTCCTCGCATCCTTGCCCGACCATGTGAGCGCACCCCGCCCCCCTCCCCCCCACTCCACCACCATTAATGCCACCACACGCTCACACACATTACATAAGCTGCATACCACAGCACCCTAGCTTGTTTTTCTGCTCAACTCACACTAGTCGGCAACATTCAGTATCGTTTTGTGTCGCAGGAAAACGACACATGAAAAATTATCCTTTGAAAAGAAGCAATCTGATGCATGGATACTATCCCGATGTGAGCGAACAAAAATAGCAAGATAAGCTAGCAGCATTTGATGTCTTAACTATACAGGCACAATTACCATGACGCGTGAATACGATATAGAAATAAATAATGTAGACAGAACATTGCATACTATATCTGTCTGTGACAACAGTGGCAGCATTAGTCAGTTGAATTGTATGTCATGCCATAAACTGGACGTACATTAGCCATCCTAAATTCAATGACAACTCTTTCAGCCGCCATTTTGTTGTCTTTGTTTGTGCACGGCGACTTAACGCGGTTGCGTGTTTTTATGGTTTTGCGTGGCAGGAGAGAAGCCGTACAGATGCTCGTGGGAAGGCTGCGAGTGGCGCTTTGCGCGCAGCGATGAGCTGACGCGCCATTTCAGGAAGCACACCGGAGCCAAGCCATTCAAATGCAGCCACTGCGACAGGTACTTTATGAACATTGTTCTGCTTGGGGGAAATAATCGGATTTCAATCTTGTCGTTTAACAACTTTTTTCAACCGTAATTTCATCTGTGAACTTTCTTGAGTCTCGTAATACCTTTTTTGGAGGGGGCCCAAAAATGGCTGACTTTATTCTTGACATTATTTTTGCTGTGCTACGTGCTAATGCTACATGCTAATGTCACAATTTACAAATGGAAATTTTAGCAGTTCGGCCTGTGCCGTCCTCACTAACGTGCTGCAACTTTTCTCACTTTTGCTCAGGTGTTTTTCCCGCTCGGACCATCTGGCCTTGCACATGAAGCGGCACATCTAAGACGGCGGCGGTGGCGACGGCGGCGGCGTGGAAGGCCAAGGCGGGACAAATCGGGCAGATGTTTCCTGACCCTGTGTGGCGTCAGCGAGGCCGGTGGGGCGTGTCGACAAGGTACCACGGCGGCGCACCGTGGCGGACGACGTTCCCGTCAGCGGGGGGGGAAAAGCAGGACGTACACGCAGGCTCTCGTTTTGCACCGTACTCAGTGCCTCCGACAGCTCGCTGTGCTGGAGCAGGAAAGTTCCGAAAAGGACGGAAATTCGTGTATGGTGTTTGGCGCTTTTTTTTTTTTTAAGGCCCCCTCCCTACCCTTGGCCGGAGGATCTTGGGACTTTTCGGGGGCGCAGCGGAGTGTTTGGACTGCGGATGCCTGCGCTGGTTTGCTGAAGTGCGGCGTGCATGGTGGACGAATGGCGTCTTTTTGTCTCCGTGTGAATGAGAAGAAAGCCTGGAGAGCAACGGAGGGTTTCTATGTTTGTTTGTGTGCCCTCTGGAGGACTGGAGGTGGAACTACAGCTTCCTACTCATTGGAAAAAAAAAGACAAAATAGAAGAAAAAAAATAAGAGAGGGAGGATTTTTTTTTGGGTGCAGCTAATAAATGTGCAATGTATTACGTAGCCTGTCTGAAAACACGCCAGAAAGCTCATTTTTGTTGTTCAAGCAAGCGAGAGAAATTCAAAGCAATGAACGTCAACAGTGGGAAGTGGCACAGGAGTGTCAAGGACACGCTGGAAAGGAAACTCATTTTAATCTGGTCATTTTACAACTCTGATCAAATCCAATTCCCCCCCCCCCAAAATTTATCCCGCCCCAAAATTTGACTTCAATCTTGTAGGATTGTTATTATGATTTCTTTATTTTTTTATTTGTTTTTACAATTCAACTTTAATATTGTAAAATGAAGGTTTTTTCAGTCCAAAATGAGATTGAACCTTGCGAGATAAAGATTTTTTTTTTTACATCAATTTAATCCAATTTTAATCTTAATGGAAGTATTCTGACTTTTCTGATCCAAAAAAAAAATCTGTATTTTTGTCATATTAAAACTTTTTTCCCTCAAAAAAACCCAACTAAAATCTTGTCATATTAAAACTTATTGAAATGAATTACTGAATGAATGATAAATGAATTTGTACAATTATGACATTTTTTCCTCTGAAAAGCAAGATTTTTAAAAAAATCGTAATTTTGTGACTTTTTCTCCAGAAAAAAGAAACACTCCAGTTTTGTCCAGTCTAATCTGTCCCCACAATCACAAGAGATTTATTTGTCTTTATTCTTCTCATCAAACTAATACTTGCCGCGAAAAACAAATGACTTGACTTTAATCTGAAATAATATGAATTTCTTGAAAAATCTTCCAGCATGGAACCTTTTTTTTTCCTGAAAAAAAAAACCTGCGATTTTCTAACTTTTTCTAGAGCAAATGTGAGTTTAACCTCATCAAGTCTAATTTATACTTGGAATAGTATCTTTGGCACGTTTTTCCTCATGAAGATTACTCATCTCCTAATAGTAAAAAAAAAAAAAAAAAAATCTAGAAATCAATGACATTTGAATTCTCCAATCTTATTTTTTTGGAGCAAATGTGAGTTTAACCTCATCAAGTCTAATTTATACTTGGAATAGTATCTTTGGCACGTTTTTCCTCATGAAGATTACTCATCTCCTAATAGTAAAAAAAAAAAAAAAAAATCTAGAAATCAATGACATTTGAATTCTCCAATCTTATTTTTTTGGGGATAGAAATCCACCTTGAATCCTTTTACAACTTCCCCTCTTGAAAAATCAGACTTAAACCTTGTAAAATTCAAACTGAAGCACAATAATAATCATAATAATTCTATTCTTTTGAAATCAATCCTACAGGGTTTGGATTTAATTGCCCTTTTTTTCTTTCCAGTGTTTTCTTTCGAAGGTGTGTCGCGTTTTTTTGGGTTTTTTTTTTTTTGACTGAACAGCTCTGTCATGGTTTCGCCCTTTTGTTTACGTGTCAACAACACATCACGTGACTTGACATGCTCCTCCCTAAAAAAAAAAAGTCACATCGCCAACTAGTTTCCTGGCGTGCAAAGTGCAGCGTGTTGACCGGGTTTAGATGTCACATCAATGCTGTGGGGAGGGAAGGGGTTGCATGGGGGGGGGCTCTGTTCGCATTTGTTGCGATTGCAGGATGACGTCATTGGAGAGCAGCTCCCTTCACGTTGCTATTGTTGAAAGACGCATAACAAGGCTTTTTTTGTTGTTGTTGGGGATACCACTTAATAATAGCGCTTTTAGAGGCGAGTCGCCTTCACTTTTTCTTTGGCTTAGACATGTCAAAACAAAGCGAGAGGAAAAAAAGTGCACTGTTGACCTTCCTGATGCCTTACGCAAGTGGCCTTGTCCTACTCAACACACACATGCAGTCCTTGAAAAAGCTTTACAGACGCTCATTTCCTCTCAACCGACTCTCCCCCCCACCCCGCCACAATAAAACCCGCGCATCACAGTCAGAAAAAAAAAGACAGACATTTTCATTTTTGATGATTTTTTTTTCTTCTTTCAACTGAGTCAGACAGGAATGTGTGGGCGGCCTTTGCTACTGTGTAGGAAACCTTCGGCTCCAAGTCAACCAGAGAGCTTTCAAAATAAGATGACAAAATTATTTATATGTGAAAATGTGGCTCCCCCTTTTACATTTTTGCATTTTAACCAGTCTTGTAATATTATGACTTTTTTCCTCAGGAAAAAAATACGAAGACTTTAATCGATGTACATTTAAGATGTATTCTTTTCAAGTGATCCAATTAAAAAGTTAAATAAATGGCCAATCGCCAAAATAAATGACTTTTTTCCACTTGATAAAGATCCAACACTAATCTCAGATTGTGACTTTTTTGTCAAAAAGATCAACTTGATCTTCCCAATTGCAAGAAAAAAAATACAACATAAATGTAGTAAAATTCCATTTTTTTCTAGAAGAAAAAAAATATTTAAAATATTTTAATGTTGTGATTTGCAACTTCTTTTCTCGGGATAAGAATGACAATTTAATACTTGAATTTTTTCTAAAAAAAAACAAAAACGGATATCTCCCCCGCACCGCCACTATAAATAAATACAACATTCAACTAAACGTCCGTCTGAACTTCAACTTGAAAAGCGTTCTGACTCTGAGCATTTCTCGACAACATGGTTGTTCCTCTCGCATGTCAACGCGAGTGAAACCTGCATGACCGGTTTGTCATCGCGTCGATGCTGAATGGCGACGTTTAGCTCGAAGCGCTCACGGCAACCAAATAAACTTCAATCTTGTCATTTGAAAATGGTTAAAAATTAATTCATACATAAATGAATACATTTGAATTTGTAAGAGTATGACTTTTTGGGAAAAATGTACGACCTGAATCTGAAAATGTTCTCACTTTTTTTAATGCAGTTTCCAATGTTTTCTTGAAAAGCGCTGACATAATTCTCGCAATATTCTGACTTCCCCCCCCCCAACAAAAACTTGATTTTCTGACGATTATTTTACGTTTACAGTATGACTTTAATTTTGTAATCTAACTTTTTTTCAAAAAAAAACAAAACTTGTGTACTACTTTTCTACCCCTAAAAGTTTCAACATTCATCTTGTAGTTGTTTGACTTTTTGCTAGAAAAAAAAAGGACTTAAATCTCAGAATGTTGAGTTTTTGTTAAAAAAAAAAAAGGCGAATGTAATTTCTTTCTTGAAAGAAAATAAGACTTCAACCTCAGATTTTTCTTGTCGAAAAATAAATATCTCAAAATATTCAGACTTTTGGGAGGAAAAAAAATCCAATGTAAATGAAATTTTTAACCCCAAAAATTATGTGAGTGTATAAATATCGAGAAAACAGGGAGCTAAATATTGTAAAATTGCTTCTTTTCTCCTCTAAAAAGATTTACATTTTATGACTTTTTACTTGGGGGGAAAAAAAGACTAAAAGCTAGTAGCGAGTCAAAATGAGGACTCATGTCATATTGCCAGAAAAATATGACCCAAAAAAAAAAAAATTGCATCTTGAATGGAGAGTTGAGTGCAGATTGTGGAAGGCGTTTGGCTCATAGCGCTGATGTAAGCTAAGCTAAAGGTTAACAAAAGCGCAACTTGTGCTGCGACAACAAGCCTGCGACTCATCCGCGACAAGATGAGGGCGGCCATTGTTCTTTGTTTTGGTTGTTTGTTTTCTTCCACTTGGCAAGGTTGACAAAGCAAAAGTTTTGTTGCAGACATTTTCCAAGAAGGCCCTTTTTCAACTGGGGACCAATAAAACCATGTGGGGGTTGTTAAAAAAAAGCTAACAAAAAAAGAAAGATATTAAAAAAGGAAAGAATAACAAATCGTTCAAATGTTTTGTTTTTTTGCAAACACAAGTATTATTTTTCTTTATTTTTTTATTTGCCATGTGACTTGTTTGGATGATCAAATGTGACGCTTTGTTTTTACTTTGTTTTGTAAAATGCGCAACATGTGTATGAATGTATTTTCTATGGGAAAGTGGATAAAAAAAAAAAAAGGTTTGATTGGATTCAAGTGTCCTTTTATATTTCGTTGTCGTGAGTTCGTAGCATAGAATGAAGATGCTAACTTGAAGATACTGCTAACTAGCCGACAGTCTCTTGGGACTTTGCGAATATTCCACGTAGTTTTTATTTTTAATTTTAGGTTTGAATTGCTTGTCCGCGCATACTGGCCATTACCTACACACACACACACACACACACACACACACACACACCCTATTATCTATGTGGGCAACACCGGGACTAGGGGATGCTAATGCTACTGCCATCAGAACTCTCTGTAGCGTCAGTTAACCCCCTCCGGCATTTTATTTCATGTTCTAAAAGACATTTATGAATTATTGAAAAAGAAATACAATTCTAGTAAATTTGGTCACATCTGAGCGGCACAAAACAAAAGTCAGAGTCCAACTGCATCTGCTACTTAGTATCACACACAAGCTAATGGCTGCTGTCAGTTGATTGAAGGTGTGTGTGTGTGTGTGTGTGTGTGTGTGTGTGTGTGCGTGCGTTTGTGATACGCTAATAACATGCTATCATGGTCTTGTAGCACAAATGTGGCACTCAACGTCGTAATCTTGTTGTCACTTTTCTCATATACACAAACACACGCACAAACACACACACACTTACACACTTTGAGACATGTTCACTTTTGGACCTCAATTCATACTTAATTGCACTGTATGTGTGTGTGTGTGTGTGTGTGTGTGTGTGTGTGTGTGTGTGTGTGTGTGTGTGTGTGTGTGTGTGTGTGTGTGTGCTTCAGAGGGATGCAATTTAGGACTCGTACAAAATATCAATATACAATTTATGGTATAGTTAACATTTTATTGTGTGTCTGAACTCCTAAAATCGACTAGTTGTCACTCTTCTAACCCTTTTTTTTGGGGGGTGGGGGGGAAGAGAGATTCCCTTTGCAGCATGAAAAGTGGTCACGTGTAGATCAACAGATACGTCTCAGGAAGCCCTGACGAAAGAGACAAAGAAAGTCAGCCATTTTGTTTGAGGACATTTTCATGGCGCTCTTCAAAAAGACTCACTTGAAAAAGTCAAAAATCTTTCTTTAAAGAATGAACTTGGAAGTTTTTTTTTTCTTTAAGGCCGTCCAGTAAGCATGTCTATCATGAGCGGAGACACAAAAAAGTCTGAAGAAGCCATGCGGGGAAAGACACAGGAAGTCGGCCATTTTGTTTGGAAGTTTGGACTTTGCCGTTCCACACGTGCGAGCGCTCGCTCTGGCGTGTCCAAGGAGGAGGCACACGCGCGAGATAGCCGGCGCTCGCAGAAGCCCCGGCCACGCGAGCGTCTCATTCCACAAAGATAATTCGCCGCTGGCGCGGCGTTGGCGCACCTCTGCAGAAAAAAAAAAAAAAAAAGAAGATGGAATGTCTTATCAAAATGCAGCGAGATGCGAAAAAGGAAGAAAATTTCATTTCCACTTGAAAGACGGCAAGAAAGTGGGACCGACATTTCAGAACACTTTTTGTGCCGACATGTTTGACGCCTCCTTCAATTGACAACCTGGATGGGGCGGGGGGGACAACTTCATTTTCATTCGGGACACTTCTGAAAATTAGGGTTGGGCTTTCAAATCAAGGTTTCACGCTGTCATTATCGTCGTCATCTTCGTTTGTGGTTATTGTTGTCATCATTTTCATCATCAACATCTTCGTGTTTGTCAACTTGATCATCAGCAGCAGCAGTGTTATTGTCAGCACTGGTTTACATCATCATCATCATTATCTTCATTGTCATCATCGTCAACATCAATGTCATTGTCATCGTCTTTGTCATCGTCATCTTCGTCATCAATTCCCTCATCATCAATATCATCATCAATTTGTGCGTGCGTGTGTGTGTGTGTGTCGCCGTCGTGTGTGTGTCGTTGTCTTTGTTGTCTCCGCCAGCGTTCGGATGGCCCCCTTCGTCTTCGTCTTCATCCTCCTCGTCCTCTTCTTAGTGTTGCTTAATGCACTTTTGTCATTGCCGACTGCTTGGCCTTCC